GTAAGTAACACCGTTTGTTAACCGCTCGATTCGCTTTCTTGGTACAGACTCCTTTTCGGGACGACGAGCGACGTTTTTATATCGTCAACGAACGTTCCGGATCCCTCTGCGGATTTCGGGACTCATCCGGAGTTTTCGCGGTATTTCGTGATGCGTCATGCGTCGGTCAGGGCCGGCTTCAGATTCATTACATTAGCATTTCTCTAATGAAAAGGTAATAAGATATGATTCCAATTATTTTGAACAGTCTTGACCTAGACTTGTTAAGCAGAAGAAAAGAGAATGCTGACCTTCTATTTATATACAGATTAATTAATGGTTTGATTACATGCCTGGAACTTCTCGAGGGGTTCACGTACATGTGCTAATGAGAACTCTCGTTTTGGCAAAACTCTACCTACAATAATATCGAAATAAAACAACATGCTCTAATCAGTTATCCATTAGACATACCTGTCATCCTCAAGCTGCGATCGACACGCTCGAACGTTTTTCTTGCCGGTACCGTTCGATTAGGAAAATGCTCGGAATACAGACAACGGGTTTCTGTAGCATTAGAAAATGCTCGTCCATGAAATGGATTCAGAATAACATTACATAGTGGAGCCATGCGAAACGACCCTGGAATGCTGTTTCAAGTACAAAGAGGGTGTCTTCGCAGAGAAGGGGGTCGTATCAAGCAGTTTTTATGGCGGATTTTTCATTTCTATTTGCTCTTGAGGCTTGCAATTGATATTCACACCATGAGTTTTGTGTTTCCATTATAAAAATTCGTTAGGAACATTTTACCTATCATTTCTATTTTAATTCAAAATTAATCTTCTCGAATAATGGTAGACATCTCAGGTTGGATGTCGTCGAACAAAAGTGCAATTTTATCAAAAATCGTTGCTCTGATCCATTTTTCACACGAGTACTTTTATTCAGAAAACTATCTAAGTAACGTGATTTTGTTGAAAAATATCTTGCCGTTTCAAAGTTTTGGGGTGTGGACCATCGGGGGTAGTACGTTCCTGACTTTGTAGCACAACAACTGACTCCTGCATGAAAGCTCATCAGAGCAATTCATTTGTTTAGTCAATCATCAAAATTCAGTTGATTTTGAATATTCACTCGAAAAATTATTGCAAAAAAAACATTTTTCATTTAGTATTTTAGTATTTTGAACCCAACTATACATTCCCGAGAGGAAAAGAGAAAGTCCAGGGACACCCTGTATATTATTCTTGTCATTTACCTCTGTATTTGAATTGTATAATCTATATTTATGTTGTATATGAATATTTATTATATTTGATGCTTGTACTATTATGAAAGAGGTGATCTCGTGTAATAAATGAATAAATACAAATAAAAAAGTATTGCATCTAACTGCCATGGTTTCAACTATCATATACGTTTTTATCCAACACAGAAGTTTAGGAGTCCTCTTCAAAAATTCTGAAATGGAATGAAATCATTTTAGACTTGATTTGACTACAAGTGTGTTTTGACTGAAGTATTTTTCTCAGGTCCAATTCCAATTCACTTTGCTGACAGACACTCTCTATTCTCCACTACCAGCCGAACTCAGACCAGTTATTGATTACGATCAAGATGAGGAAACTACCATTCCGAGAACAATAGTGGCTGTTGAGGTACAAGATATCAAAAATGGTGCCACGCATTATTGGTCATTAGAGAAGTTACGGTGAGTTTTATGTAAATTCAACAACGTGAAACGAGTTATTACAGTTTGACTCATCTTCCTCATACTCAAAGACTTTTGATAGCATCAATCATAAACTCCTATTAGCAATCTTACATTAAAATGGTTTCACCAATAGTGCATCTCTCTGATCGTATCTATTTGGTCAATTCAGACTCCATTTTGGGGTCTTACTCTTTATAATATATAGTGCAGACTTCTTGTCTGTCTCACTATCAGTCTCATTATTATGCAAATTTATCATTAATTCAATTCTGAGAATCTACATGACTTATGGTCTGCTCTTAATGAAAACTTCAATAAACTATCTGATATATTAAAGGACCATTATTTGATAATCAGTCTCGCAAAGTTCAAATTGTCAATTTTTGAGGTCAGAAACAATACAAATCAACTTGTTCTATACGGAACCCATTCATCTTAGATTCATTAAAAAAATTGGGGACTAAGGATATGTTGATTTACAACATGATTGTCGACATCACTACAACTAGTATCTATAATCGTTTAGGAAATTCCTCCTGCTTTTTCAGTTATAGGTTAAAATGCCACTATTTGAGATATTCAAAATCTATGACACTTTCATTATTCACTCACTTTTACACAAAATTCAATTTCAATGTTGCATAATAATAAATAGGCTTGATTTAGTTCATTAGAATAAAAGATAAATCACACCTTTATTAATTTTTGCAATCACCAAAGCACTTATAAAGATTCTGACCGAACTGAATGAACTACACAACCGTCACCACACTACAAATAAAACTAAATATTCTTTTTTGTATGTAACTAAGTTTGTTTTTCAATAACAAGTCAAAGATTGGAAATAATGCGTCTAATCTATAACGAAGAGCTAATGGACGTTCAAAGCCCCGAAGAATCCACGCCGCCTTTGCTGAGATGTCTAGCGCAATGTCCGCCATCTCCATCACGCTTCTCACTAACCAGTTTAATACCTTCGAGGTTGGTGCCACTGTATACCACCTCTTTGGTTCGTTTCATGTAAATACTCTGCTTTTTTTTCACTTTGTAAATTCCTCTTATATTTTTGAAGTTTGTGAATATTTTGGGCACAGCAACAACCACCTTTTAACCAAATTTTCCAACATTAGTTTCAGTGCCCCAGAAAAGTTGTTTTGAGTGCATGGCAAGTCTGACTTGAACATGAGTTGATAAGTAGGCATGTGTGTGGCAGATCTTTTATACAATAATCTTTCACATCAACTATAGTGGATGTCCCAATATGTCTCGGAAATTTTAAAACATTTATTATTGGGTAGCAGCTTGCTTCAAATTATAAATTAATCACCTGTCCCAAATTTCACATTTAATGACAAAGGTTTTAAAAAACAATATATGATACGTTACTTCGGGCTCATAGGCGTAAATCCACGATTCATCATCTGTCACGATATCGTAGACGTGTTTCGAAGCACCGCGATCGTATTTTTTGAGCCTTTCTTTGGACCAATCGACACGAGTCTTTTTTAAGCGATCGACAAATTGTGTGGGATCCAACGCGAATAAATTTTTTTAACAGTCAAATGTTAATGCAATATTGAATGTATGCTGGTCCCACTAATGCCTAAGGTTGTCTCAATCTCACGATAGGTCATATGACGATCTTGCAATATCAGTTCGCGCACAGCATCAATGGTTTTTGGAACAACAACTGATTCTGGACGACCTTCACGAAATTCGTCTTGGAGTGAACTACGCTCACGATTGAATTCACCATACCATCGATAAACACTGGTCCTTGATGGAGCTTCATCGCCAAAAATTCAATAACGTTCATCCATGCACTATTGCTGAGTTAATCCACGTCGAAAGTTGTAAAAAATTATCGCACGAAAATGTTCACGATTAAATTCCATTTTTGGACTGAGATGAATCTTTTAAGTTACTGTAAGGGCAAACGCACACTACAGACTTTTTATCGGCCGATATTTTCATCTGGTTGGGTTGGGTGGGGGCACACTACTCAAACAAAACTGTTCGGTTCGGTGCGGGTGCGCAGACTACCAACTGAAAAGTCTGAACAGTTGTTGATGTATATAATATTTTGACGCGTTGTATTGAAAGTATTGAAGAATGTTATCGAGAATGTTAACATCGGAATATTCTTTTAATGTTTTATTATATAATGCAGGTTGCTTTTCAACTTCCGCAATTAAATTTTCTACTGAACATTCGGCAATATTCAACATAATTATGAAAAAAAAATGTAATGAAAACGCAAATATATTCAAAGATAAAGTAGGTACCAGATAGTATTTGATATCAGATATCAACAATGGAATGTAGAGTGGGGAGTCTGCAGGCACCGACTGTTTAATTGGTGAGTCTGCGCACTCTCATAAACACACAGTCTGATTAGAACTCGGCCGATAGTTGTCCAACTTGTTTCTGATTATTCAGCCGGCCGACCGGAATTGCTTAGATGTGCGGATTCTATACTAACAAGCATCCAACTAAACTATCGGCCGATAGCGCTTGCCCTAAACAACACAAATAGCGCCCATATGTCAAAACGTTCTGAGTATGTATAAGCTAAAAAATGTCCAACTTTACGATAGAGCTGTCAGTTTGCCAGATTGCAACACTAGGGTTGCCAAATCCCGAAACATGAAAGGCAACCTATGGTATTTTCCTTCAAACTATTTTTACAGTCCGTTTCAAATCTAGTGAAAATACTTTTTCGAAAAATCAGAACTAGAGCACATCAAAGTTGAATTATGCTTCATTATCCGAGGTTTTGTATCTTGGTGACAGAGCTTGGTCACAAATAACAAAAGTTCAAATGGTAGTCATAGCATTTTGGTTAGATAAAAAATTCTCAATGTGTGATGGAATCGGCCGATACTTGATGCAAATCTAGCTGAACAATTTGCGTCCCACTCCACAGTCAATTTTCTGGCAAAGGCACCACCCACTATTCCCACACTAGAATCCACAATGCTGGAAATTACTTTCCAACAGCGTCTAGTCAGGCGAATTTTGAAACAGCTCAATATCATTAAGGAGTGTGGTCCTGATGAAGCGCCCGTCATCGTACTTGAAAAGTGCACAAATGCACAAATGAACTCGCACCAGTATTTTGCAGTTTTTTTAATCAGTCTTACAAGAAAGGGGTTTTTCCTTCTTGTTGGAAGATTGCACGCGTTCAGCCTATTCCCAAAAAGGGCAAGAAAACTCTTCCAAATAACTATAGACCAGTCGCTTTGCTATCAGTGATATCAAAAATCATGGAGAAAGCCGTAAACCACCATATCCTCAAATATTAAGAAGGCTTCAACATCTTGAGCAATCATCAATATTGCTTTCGAAAGCAAAGATCAATAGGCAACCTTCTATCGTATCAATCAAATCAAATCAAAATATACTTTATTCTCAGAAGAATTTGTATCCCATCGACAAAGCTTTGTAGGTATAACTAATGGTGTATAGATAAAAACTGGCAATTAATAAAGGTTTGAATAAAACAGGTACAAATACAATAAAAATAAATATAAAATGGAATACACTTTTAAAATGATTCATTAAAATACTCTTGCAAGCTATAATAGGGTCTATCAGCTAGCAAATTTCTAACTGCTTTCTTGAATTGAATATGACCTGGAGCGGTCATATTCAGAAGGTCTGCAACAAACTCAATTCCGCATATTACTCAATCAAACAATTGAAAAACAATGTGACATGAAGGTTTGCTGGCCAAACTTCGGTGCTATGACTTGTCGGATAATTTTTGTGTATGGCTCTTCAGCTTCCTGGAAGAACTTGTGGTCGTCGATGGATAACTCTCGAATAATTTCACCATCAACGCTGGTGTTCCTCAGGGATCCATATTGTCTTCAATCCTCTTTTTATTGTATATCAACGACTTATTGGAAAAAACCACGAATCCAGTATATTACATTGCTGATGACAGCACACTTGTCTCGTCATTACATTTGGATTCTAGGACATCAATATTACTGGAGTTTTTTCCCAACACCAAATCGTTATTTTTAACAGCTCGACACGTATTTCGATCACCAAGTGATCATCTTCAAAGAGGAAGATTAAATCTTCCTCTTTGTTCCACTTCAGTTTTAATCTTCCTCTTTGAAGATGATCACTTGATGATCGAGGTGTTAAAAATAACGATTTGGTGTTGGGAAAAACTCCAGTAATATTCATTACTACACCAAATGTTCCAATCAGTGCATCATAAGTTCTAGAACATCGGCTGCAGATGGACATCTTCACCGGCAACAGGAGGTTAAATAAGTTAATGAGGATCTGGAAGTAATTTAGAATTGGGATGAAAGTGACTAGGTTCAATCCAATGCCAAAAAAACCCAGGCATCGGTTTTCTCCAAAAAAATAAATGTCTCTGAACCGGATATAATAATGTCAGGTCAGACAATTCAGCTTTCTGCTTCGATAAGTTTGTTGGTGATTAAAATTTACAACCCATGTCGCTGGAATTGCAAAGGCTGCTTCTCAAACGCTTGGTACACTGTTCCGAATCAGAAAGCTGTACACACATCAGCAACTTTTGATGCTTATAAAGCTCAGCTAGACTTCTTTGGAGTATTGTTCTCATGTATGAGGCCCGGCCCCCAAACATACTCTGAAGCTGCTGGATTCCATCCAGAAAAAAGCCATCCGCCTGATTGGAGATGCGAACATCACTTGCAACCTTGATAGTCTGGAACATCGAAGAAAAGTTGGAGATTTGTTTCACTTTCATACTTTCACGGGAAGTGTTCAAGTGACTTGGCACATCATCTTTTTGAGGTTCAACTTAGTACACCTCGAACTTAACTGTTTGAGAACTCTTTCATTTGAAGAACGGCGTATTTGTGGAATAAACTTCCTAAGAACGTTTTTCCAAATGGATTTGATATCCAGCGATTCACATCTAATGTGAATCACTACTTTCCTGTATTGCTTGTGTTTCCACGGCGTGGATTTTTGTAATTTTTTCCAAGGAAGAAATCCACGGCCTTCGAACCCGAAGGATAGTGACACTGAAAATGTCTCTTAAATAGAGGTTGTTTCATTTGCGAAAACTAAGTTTTGCCCCTTTTCTATATCTTCAGAATTAGTCGTTGATTCTAAACATCTTGAATCAATAATAGCTTATTTATGTATTCTATCAAACTTTTGAATCACTCGAGAGCCGAATATCTAGTTTTTTTGAGTAAACAAATAAATATCTCGAGACGGTTCATTTTTGGTATAGGATGTATTACATAAACTCACTTTAGAATTATGTCAGGTATTAAAAAAATGAGAAAATATACAGGGTGTTACATTTGAATTAAGTAAGTTGTACCAACTTCCACCGTTATTTTCATTCGAAAAAGCATATTGAAAAAACCACTTTTGCCAATTTTTAAGATATGAATTCTATCATTTCCCAAAATACGGACGGTCACCGCGTTTTATATCCTGTATACTGCTTGCATTCCCTTATGGACCCTTGAAAATATATGAGTTGGCCTCAAATGCTTCTTACTGTAAAGCATTTTCTTTGGAAATATTATTTGAAGCTTTTTATTATGGTGGCACCAACTTTTGTCATTTCCTGTGATTGTTCAATTTTGTACATTTATTTCATTCTCTCGCATCTGATATAATGGTTACTCTTAACATATTATTTCAGGCAACGTTTGGAACTCATGCGAGAAATGTACCACAACGAAGCTGAAATGTCACCCACATCGCCAGACTATAACGTCGAATCTTTAACTGGGGGCGATCCCTTCTACGACAGATTTCCTTGGTTCAGAATGGTAGGTAGAGGGTTCGTCTACCTAAGCAATCTCTTGTACCCAATCACGCTCATCCACAAAGTCGCAATCGTTAGCGAAAAAGGCGATGTTAGAGGTTACCTCAAGGTTGCAGTTCAGGCAGTAATGGACGAAGATAACTCTGACCAAGTGGGGGTACGTCAGAGCGCAAGGATAGCCTTCGAGTCTACCCCAAAGAGTAAGTTCCATGTAGGTTACAGAGGGTGGTTTATAATATTCGTTCTTTTTGCAGCTATCATGGATCGTAACATTCGCAATATGGAAGAAAGAATAGTTGAAGGTCAAAATAATATCGATCCGATTAAGTTGGATGAACTCATCGAGTGTGATGCTGATTCTGGGAGGGGAGATAGCTCTATATCGTCTGATTTGAAAGAGGAGGAAATACCAGACCATCTGAGTATTGGAAAGGAGTTTACGTTTAGAGTAACCGTGTTACAGGCAGTAGGAATTTCGACGGAGTACGCAGACATTTTCTGTCAGTTCAAGTAAGGACTAAGCTAGGTTATGTTTTATGAGACATTCTAATTTTTTTTTAAATTTCAGCTTCCTTCACAGACACGATGAAGCTTTCTCAACGGAACCTGTGAAAAATACCGGAAAGGGAACTCCTCTTGGNCATATCTATAATAATGACAAAACATTTGCTGTAATAGTCAATAGACCATATCAGATAAGGAGTTTGTTTGGAGAACATGTATTTTTCTTCAATTAGCTACTCTTTGAACATGTCATTAATGACAGCTGTCATATTTAGATGATGTAAAGGTCCATATCGGAGAATTTTGTTTGGAGCACATGTAGTTTTTTCTAGCTATACCATTTATTTATCATTTTGAATAGTCTTAACCTAGACTTGTTAAGCAGAAGAAGAGAGAATGATCACTTCTATTTATATACAAATTAATTAATGGCCTGATAACATTCCCAGAACCTCTCTAGGGGTTCACATACACATAGCAATGAGAACTCTCAGAAATAGTTTCACGTTTCCTTTCATCATACAAACCATGGAATGCACTCTCCTATTGATCGGTGACTTAGAATGTTCAATGAACCTACATCCAGCGATTACAGGTATAGGCCTGTCAAAATAAAAATGTCTCCTGAGAGAGAGTCGAAAATCAATTTTATACTTATTTCTTATTATTATACAGGGTATCCCTGGACTTCCTTTTTTTTGTCTTGGGAATGTATATGTAGATAGGGTCAAAATATCACAAGTACTTTATATAACTTTTGTCCCTAAATCCATCGTTACCAAGTTACGGGCCTTCAAAGTTACAAAATGAAAATTGTTTTTCTTTAATAGTTTTTCAAGTGAATATTCAAAATCAACCAAATTTTGGTGATTGACTAAACAAATGAATTCCGTCGATGAGCTTTCATACAGGAGCCAGTTGTTGTGCTACAAAGTCAGGAACGTACTACCCCTGATGGTCCACACCCCAAAACTTTGAAATGACAAGATATTTTTCAACAAAATCACGTTACGTATATAAATATTTATTATATTTGATGCTTGTACTACTATGAAAGAGGTGATCTCGTGTAATAAATGAATAAATACAAATAAAAAAGTATTGCATCTAACTGCCATGGTTTCAACTATCATATACGTTTAGAGATGAGGAAGGAGTTGATGAAGAGGAAGCTGACCATCATAACCGCCTTTCTTTCACCGGAAAAGATGGAATTACAAAATGGAAAAAGATAATGGGACCTAAAACAGTTAGAACTCGACAGGAAAATTATGTTATTCGTTTGCCTATTTCACGGCTACCTATAAGAGGCATCAAAGCTCCTTTAGAAATATGAAAATATTTCATAAATGATGAAATGTTACAATCTATTGTAAATAACACCAAGTTTATTATTTCTGTCAAGGAGAACTTCGCACGTGACAGAGATGTACGATCTACTGATTTGCTGGAGATCCAAGCTTTCATTGGACTATTCTATTATGCGGGCATTCTGAAAGCTAACCATTTGAATGCAGATGATCTTTGGAAAACTGACGGCTCTGGTGTTGAAATTTTTCGCTTGACAATGTCGTTATCTCGTTTCCGATTTCTTCTAAGATGTATAAGAATGGATGATAAAGCCACTCGTGCACAAAGGGCAGAAATTGATAAACTTGCACCTATAAGGGATTTTTTTGACAAGTTTGTGGACCATTGTAAGAACGGGTATAGTCTATCAGAATATGTTACTGTTGACGAGAAGCCAGAGGCGTTTCGAGGGCGCTGCGGCTTTCGACAGTACATACCATCCAAGCCTAATAAATATGGTATCAAAATCTTCGCCCTTGCATATGCGAAAATGATGTATGTTTCCAACATGGAGGTATACGTTGGACAACAGCCTGAAGGCCCTTTTCGGGTTAGCAACTCTCCAGATTATGTCAACATATTTTTGGCTCAGGTCGAAATTTGACCATAGATAATTGGTTTACTAGTTTTAGCCTAGTTGATGCAATGTATAAAGAAAAAATAACAGTTATTGGTACTATAAGGAAAAATAAGCGAGAGCTACCTCCTGAGTTTACAAACCCCACTCATCCGGTAAATTCAAGTATGTTTGGATATAGGAAAAATTGTACTCTAGTATCCTATATTCCGAAAAAAAAAAAAAATTTCATACTGGTATCCTCAATGCATTTTGACGACAATATTGACAAGAATACAGGTGAAAAGTTTAAACCCGAAATGATAACTACATACAACAAAACTTAATGCGGAGTGGACGTCGTTGATCAACTTTGTTCAAATTACAACTGCGCAAGAAGTACCAGGCGTTGGCTGATGGTTATATTTTATTCTATACTGAATGTAGCTGGAATTAATTCTATGGTTGTATGGAATTCTAATAACCCCAATATTGGTACTAAGAAAAAGAGGTTTCTGCAAGGTCTAGCATTTAATCTAATAAAGCCCTACTTACAAGTTCGAGGACAGGTACAAAATCTTGCAGTAACATTAAAAACTCGCATTTATGAAATTTGTGGTCATCAAGGGCAAATCCGGGAAAACGAAAGGAGAAACGGCCGCTGTAACTTAAAAAAAACAGGCGTACTCGATACTTTTGTGTGAACTGCAGTAAATTCGTGTGCTTGGAGCATTTACAGGCAATTTGCGAAATTTGCAAACAAAATGCTTTTAATTAATAATATTTTGTTGTATACTTAATGCAAGAAATGTTTTTTTAGTTTTTTTTTCAGTGTTTGTAAATTTTCTAGGATAAGGAAAAAGTTCTTAAGTTACATTTTATTTGTCAATAAAAATAATGAATTCGTTCTTGGGTTGTCTTATTGCTGCATATTAGTAAAATAGAACCACTCAATGGACAAATTAATGATTTACATGTCTTAAGTACTTGAAATATATTTTCGATGTCACAGACCGAAGCGACTAAACTTTCCTAAAAATTTCTAGCGACTAACAAAGGGTTAATGCACTTGCTATCAGCATGTCCAGCATATGCGGTCTCTGCCTATATCCATCGACATAACGCGGTCCTAAGAGTGCTATATTACCATATACGGCACTCTTACGGTATTGACCTACGCTCCGAGGATATTGAATCCGTTGTGGGGAACGAGAAGTGCCGAATTTATTGGGACTATTTGTTCCCCACCCTCAGGCTCATACAAGCTAATAAGCCTGATGTAGTCCTTCTCGAAAATTGATGAATATTATGATTTAAAAGGGGTAAAATTTCATTCAGATAAGAAGGGGCTATATAAGAAAAACATCCTTGAAATTTGGAAGTACGGTGGCTAAGAATGTTGAATGAGTTAACTCTCAAATTGACCATATGTATGTCAGAATGTCTGCTTGATAAACTATATAAATAACTAGGTGTTTTAGTTTGAAGCAACTTAAACAAATTTTTTTTATCAAATATTGGATTCTACCTCGTATTCAGCTCCTTAATTTTTAACAAAAATGGAGTGAAATGTTCACCATATGGTATACAGCATACGAATCGCATACAATCATTTTGTGTACGTTGTAACTTCTGCTTGTTATATTGCGGCAAAAAATTGTAATACGCTGAACAACAATACTCGATATGGAGCTAAATAAGAGTTTTAACTAACCTGAGTTTCATTTCTTCTGATTACTGATACTTGAATTTGTATAGCGATTTGAGTTTGAAGAATTATACTTTGAAAATGTTTGTCGCATGTTCATGGAAAGACAAAGAGCTATCTATGGTTTCACCAAGATCTTTAGCACTGTTCACCCAGTCAATGTCTGCGTTATCGAAAGTGAGCCTAAAGTTACACCCAGTTTCTACTATTTGTCTTTGAGACCCTATGCGTAAGGCCAAAGTTTTATTTGGATTGATTTTCAGTCCATTATTCTCCGAGTATAGGAATGTTTTGTGCAAATCTGTGTTTATATTGGCCACGCAACTCTCTGTATCGGTTTAATGAGAAGACAAATATAACTGTATATCATCTGCTTATAGATGTACTTGACAATGTGATAAGAAAGTGGTGTAATCAAAAATAAACACTGAAAACATCAAGGGTCCTAAAATACTTCCCTGCGGTACACCAGATATTGTTTCTTTTAAGGATGACCATGAGTAATCATCCAGTTTGACCCTCTGTGATCGGTCTGTGAGATAGCTGGTCATCCATTTAAGAGAAATGTCATCGAATCCTATGAACTTGAGCTTGCTTATGAATAAATCGAAATTAACTAAATCGAAAGCTTAACTTTCATCAAGCAGTACTAAAATGGTGACTTTTGATTGATCTCTGAATCTCGCAAGATCGTCGATTACTTTCAAGAGGGCAGTCTGTGTTCCGTGTTATCAAATTGTTGTTTTTATAATTTGCAGAATCAGAGATTTTCAATTAGAGCCATAACTTTTTTACTTCATGATATTTTTTTATTTCCGCTTGGTTACCGTCTGACTTTATTTTCTGCCTCACAATCATATAAAAAATGACAAGCCTCTGTCTCTTTGTTTTATCACCAACAGCTAAGGACCTAGTTGTTCAGCCCTATTTTGTTCAGTTGTCCTCTGAATGGAGACTGACCAGTGGGTAGCCCTGTAATTGTTATGAGCCGATTGCTGCTTATACAACTAATAGACAAAAATTATAAAAACCACAATACAACTGAAAACCACGACCCAAACACAACGCACCTATGATTCAACACCAGACATTGCTTTTCCATCATAAGTCTCATAAGTGATGCTAGGCTGAACCACAAATGCATTCTACCATGGCCCACCTGGGACTGAGTGCCCTGAAATAAAATCTCCCCCACACTGTTTCTGTGTGCTGAAGCTAAAATCGCATCCGTCCACATCCACTCACTTCCGAGTGGTCCTCAATCTGCTGCTTGGCACTTCAGCAAAACCTGACTCTATTGTGTGTAGTGTGTGAATGGTGGTCCTCTATACCTAGTTGGAGACGAGTGTTATTTGTCGCGGACGCGGACTAATGTGTGTATTTTAGAACTAGTATGTGTGTGTGTGAAAATTTAAAAAAAAAATATGCACCCGAGCCGCCAGACGGCGACTCTCGAAATTGGTCTCTGGTTCTGCTTTGTCTGCCTCATGTGCTCGTCCCTCTTGCGGAATCTAGGGTCGTCCCTGTTCAGTGCGTCGTGAAGATCACGGGGCGCTGAGTTGGGGTGTGTCTGGAATACTCGAAGATGTTTTTGGCATGGTTTCTCAGTACTAAGATCCATATGCCGGTCGATGAATCGGTTGGGTATGTATCTGGAAGCGGTTACGCCCCCCCGCAAGCAGGTGTTCATAAACGTTTGGATTTGGCGTCTGGGTGTTGCTGCCCACTAGCCACAGGGAGTGGTTGCATACAGGATGATGGGGAGCAGAATGGTCTTGATTAGGAGCAGTTTCACTTGTAGATCCATGTTACTCCTGCGTCCAATGATGGGGTAGAGGTTATGTCAAGCGGCTTTCGCCGGCCCTAACCTCCGTTGGATATGGGGCCTGAATGCAAGTTTCCTGTCGAGGGTGACTCCCAGGTATCTCGCTTCGTTTGTCCACGGAATCTCCTGTCCGTTGAAGCAAAAATGCATTGCTAGACTCAACTATCCTTGAAAGACAAGCCTGAGCAAGTGAGGGCGATGACATATACCCTTATAAAGACAGCCATCTATGGGAGCTTAGTTTATCTTGAATATTTGAGGATTGAGTTCCCTGTTGATCCTAAGATGGCGTCTTGGTATGGGGAAATGTCATCGTCCTCGCTTACTATAATAATACTCAAACTTTATTGCGCTAAGATACATAAAAGGAGAAATGAACAAACAAGTCAAAGTTACATTCACGTCCGAGCTGAAGTTTTTATGAGAACTAGTTATAGTTAGGTTATTTCTAGAATTATGTCAGATTGCAGAAAATCCTGTACGATGTATGGTTCAAGTGCACACAGAACTTTGATGATATTCTTATTTTGTCCTGAAATACATAGAGTTTGTTTTTTCTTGATTCAGTACTAGTTTAGAATTTGAGAACCAATATTGAACTCAGCCTAATCATTTCATTTTCTTTCGATAAGAGTTCTGATGGATTTTACTCTGAATTAAATAGAATACTATCATCCTCATAATTAATAATATCTTGACTTTCTTGATAGAGCATAGATTATCAATATACAGTATAAATATTAGTGGTCCTAACACACTGTTTTGAGAAATCTCAATACGTTGTTCATAATTTATCTGCTTTGTCCACTGAGAACATTGTTTTTCTGTTTACTGTTCTCAAAGACATCAAATAACGTACAGTTCACCACACATCATTTTTCTACTTACTGTACCAACACGTTCTTTACTACTCGAGTTTCTCGATGTTAAAGAGCTCACAATGCAACAACTCCCCAAAAAACAGCAAATAGTAATATAGAATTGAAAGGGTTATATTTTTAGGAGTGATTAATTTTTGGGAAAGAAAGTTTTTGGCTTTCTACTACTCCATCTGATACAAAAAAATGGATGAGAGAATCTTCCAAAGAAAGGAAGGAAGTAATCAATTTGAAAATAAGTAACGCTATACATGGATGTGTAGATCATGCAAAGAAGTAACTTTTAGACACAAACTGATTCGTCTACCTAAGCAATCTCTTGTACCCAATCACGCTCATCCACAAAGTCGCAATCGTTAGCGAAAAAGGCGATGTTAGAGGTTACCTCAAGGTCGCAGTTCAGGCAGTAATGGACGAAGATAACTCTGACCAAGTGGGGGTTCGTCAGAGCGCAAGGATAGCCTTCGAGTCAACCCCAAAGAGTAAGTTCCATGTAGGTTACAGAGGGTGGTTTATAATATTCGTTGTTTTTGCAGCTATCATGGATCGTAACATTCGCAATATGGAAGAAAGAATAATTGAAGGTCAAAATAATATCGATCCGATTAAGTTGGATGAACTCATCGAATGTGATGCTGATTCTGGGAGGGGAGATAGCTCTATATCGTCTGATTTGAAAGAGGAGGAAATACCGGACCATCTGAGTATTGGAAAGGAGTTTACGTTTAGAGTAACCGTGTTACAGGCAGTAGGAATTTCGACAGAGTACGCAGACATTTTCTGTCAGTTCAAGTAAGGGTTAAGCTAGAGTATGTTTTATGAGATATTCTAATTTTTTTTTTTTAATTTCAGCTTCCTTCACAGACACGATGAAGCTTTCTCAACGGAACCTGTGAAAAATACCGGAAAGGGAACTCCTCTTGGTTTTTATCATGTCCAGAATGTAAGTAAAAATCCAACTCCATTCTATTAAGATGTTCCAAAAGTTCTGTTCGTTTCAATCTCATATGTTTTTGTAGCTCCATATCTCAATAAATATTTATTCTACTGTGTCTTGGTTACTGTTCTATGGAGAATTTTGTACTATAGATATTGATGCTGTTGATTTTTTTTCCCAATTTTAATTTTTTGCATCTTTTTTGCTCATTACTGTAAAATGTTGTTAAGCGATGTTCAGCCAATTTTTTCTCTACAAATCGGAATTGAACCAGAACGCTGCCGAAAGAGCAAGAAAAATTAACCAGGCATTTAGCAATAATACTGTTAATGAACGTATTGTTTGACGTTGGTTTGCGAAATTTCGTTCCGGAGATTTTAGTCTGGTGGAAGAACTGGGTGTCCGCTCCCATATAATTTTTGATGGTTTAAAACGTATTGGAAAGGTCAAAAAGCTCGCCTGTTCACCTCCTTCACAAATCATCTTCCGAAAATTAAACAAATTGAGCGTCGAAGTTCTGCCTCATCCACTATACTCCCCAGATCTCTCGCCAGTCGACTACCATTTTTTCGAACACTTCGATGATTTCCTGACCGATATAACCTTCGCCAATCAGGACTAAGTGAAAACGGCCTTCGTCGACTCCATCAAATCCCGAGCACACAATTTTTATGCTGACGGAATTGATCGAATTGCGTTACATTGGCAAAAATGCACTCATTCAAAGTCACTGAGATATTACAGTTCAAAGTAGACTCATGAAAACGGACAACACTTTTGAAACAACTATAATGAACTTTGTATAAATAGAAGTCCTACATGCCATCATTCTGAATGAATACATAGAGCGTCATATGTCTTTTGGGGACAAGAAACTTCAAATATATTCAAATAGTGGCTAGTTTTCTTTATTGTGCTTCATAAGATCAAGTTTGAAAGACTGAATGGTTGAATTTTGCTTTGATATGAACAAAACAATTATTATTTTGTGTCAAATCTTTATGAAATTGAGACTAGATATTTTATACAGTGCATTTCTTTAATGTCCTCCCCCTTTTATTTTTTGAACGGGTCAACTCAAAACATTGAAATTTGGGATAATGAAATTAATGCATGAATACTTTATTTTGAAGTGAAATTGACAGATGAAACTTTCAAGATGGCGACTGAGCCCCGTCTGGGAAAAAATGAAATGGAAAAGGGGGTCTTGTGATACATCTTTTTGAAGCTCTTGACAAATGCTTCAGAACCCTAGAATATAATGACAATATCTTCAACTACTACAAAATGGTGGAACTTTTAGTAATTGCCTGAATACCATGACATTTAACTAGATAATATGAGGTAAAAAGCTTGAGGTCATTTCAGAAGATGCTCGAAATAGTTGCCTTGAACTTCTTGACATATGAGCAGCCTATCCGATATTTCACGCCGAACATTTTCGAACACAGTAACTTCAAGTTGTGGTCACCTCGTTCAGAATCGAAAACTATACCGAGTTCATCAGCTGCTCGGGCAGCTGCCCTAAAGAGAAATGCACTAATTTCCGCTCTCTCATGGTCACGGACCATGCAGAGAAGGGGAACTCCTGACGACTTTACAGGCTGTATCCAGTACCATTCTGTCATGTAGACACTCCAAACTCAAAAGTCCACCGCCTCCCTGTTGTCGGGGAAGTACAACCGTGGAACGGACGATTTGGGATGCAAACTTCTATGAGACGCATCATTTTTCGGGTCTTTACGTCGAGTTGGATACAGCTCCTCCCGAGTCCACTTCACTACTCCAAACGATTAGAGTAAGATTGGAACGGCAAGCATATTTTTTGCAGCAACTTTGTTCCTCCCTGACAATTCCGATGACCAGATCTGTCGAAGTTTGTGCTGATACTTGCCGCGGAGAGAGTTTTTTACTGCTGTTACCTCTTGCGAGTGGCGTTGTTCCACCCCGAGGTAAGTATACGTCTCTCCGGCATCCAGATGGTGTAGGATGCCTCCATCTACGAGCTGCACATCCTCTCCGTAGTCCCCGCATCGTCCTCTTTTGAGATTGACCATTGCACATTTGTCTGTCCCGAATGTCATATCGATAGCATGAGTGTACTCTTCCAACACCCTCAAGGACTGATGGAGATCCTTCTCTCCAGAGGCATAAAGTTTAAGATCATCCATTTAAAACAGATGGGTGGCCGTGTGCCTCCGGTTTCCGTTTCATCATTATTACTAATATTATTAATTAAAATTATTATTAACAAAACTCATGTAACTCATGGAGATTGTAAATGTGATGGAATTGGCCGATATTTGATCGAAATGTATGACACATTCAAGTAATACTTTATTGTGAGATTTTCAGTGGCCAGTTTACATAACCGTAAACAAATATGACACGTGTTTCGCTATACAGTAACTTTCTGGGTAGGTAGGTTTAGTAACCTACTCAGTTGAAATAATGAAGACGATCACTATAATTATTAATTATTATTCTTGTTCTGATTTCAGATCACGGTATCCACTACAAAATCCTTTGTCGACTACATCAAAAGTCAGCCGATAGTATTCGAAGTATTTGGCCACTATCAGCAGCATCCTCTGCATAAGGATGCGAAACTGGAAGGAAGCATTCGCCAGCCACCTAGAAGGATGTTGCCTCCATCCATACCGATCTCGCAACCGGTGAGATCGAGCAAGTTTGGGGCCCTGCCTTCTCCTTGCACTGCTCACATCCACGCCAAAGCTGACGTTTTGGTTTGGTTCGAGATTTGTGAGCTGGCACCCAATGGGGAGTATGTTCCGTCGGTGGTGGAGCATAGTGACGACTTTCCCTGCAGAGGACTCTTCTTATTACATCAGGTATTTTTTATAAGATTTTTGAACTTGAAATGAGTGTTTCACAAATGACCAAACGAATAAATAGCTTTGAATTATCTAAAAGAACAATTCGTTTAGGATAGTCTCAACTCACCCATACTGTAGGTTAATGGACTGATACCTGGTTACCTCGTTCACAGGCAGATGGGGCGATGACAAATATGTTGTTTGTCATTCACTTTAGCCTAGTTCGAGGAATGATACTCTGAAGGAATCCGATTTTTAATTATGGAAAATCATCATTTCATGTTGTAAGTTGCAAGTGTGTTGCAATAATTGAAAATCGATTCCGGCAGTTGTATCGCTAAAAGCATATGCAGGAATAACTTCAGTGAAGAATCCTGCAGTGACACCTGTCGGATATAATCCAACGCCTACGTGGTATTAGCTAGGGGAGTAGTTGTTTTCTGATAGGTGTCAGTCCTACAGTGTAGATATATTAAAGGAAATGAACAAATGACGCAAGAAGGTACTCTGTTAGACAAAGATGCAAAATCTGTAGCAAACGACTATAATAACTTCTTGATAAGTGCAGTCTCCAACTTATGGACATGATGTCCACTATAAAATTATTAAATTATGTATAGAAGAAATGATAGATCCGATTGTATATACTGTGAACAATTCTCTGAAATACGGAATTTTTCCTGTCTCACTCAAGCTAGCATTAGTCAAACCCATATTGAAAAAGGGGGATCCCTCTAAACTAGAAAATTTTAGACAAATTAGTCTACTGTCTTCATTTTCAAAAATTTTTGAAGCTGTAATATGCAAACGGATGATGGATTTCTTCAGGCAGTGTAATCTTATCAGTAAGTGGCAACATGGATATCAGAAAGGGAAATCAACACATACAGCAATTTTTCAGTTCATTCAAAATATCTTGTTACAACTTGAGAACAATAAATAATTTGACATTGGGATTATTTGTAGACCTGTCGAAAGCTTTTGACTGTTTGAAACACACAGTTCTTATACAAAAGCTGGAATTATATGGCATACGTGGCCCTGCGATGAAATAGCTTAAATCTTATATACCAGGTAGAAAATATGAATACGTTTATTTAGAAAATAAATGGTAGTAATTAATAAGGAGGGAATTAAAGCTGAATCAGACATAAAATCAATTGATACTGGGGTACCACAAGGTAGTATAATTGGCCCAATGATGTTGGAGGAGATTTGTGGGGAAAATTGCAAAATGACAGATTATGTAGATGACAAAAACTTGCTGGTCAATGCAGTAGATTATCCCGGTCTGATATCCATAGCCTCTGTAAGGCAGATGAGTGGTTCAGGAGAAACACACTTATATTGAATGACAATAAGACCAAAACTGTAATGTTCAAAACAAACCATACAGGATTTGACTTACCTCAAGAAATAGTGGTGCTGTAATTGTAAAATTTTTCAGAAAAAAATTAATATCTCGAAAACTTACAAATTTGGGTATAGCCATTGTTATACAAAGTGGTCCTAAAATGTGCTGAGAAATTCAAAAATGTAATAAAATATAGGGTGTTCCATTTGAAATAAGGAAGTTGCCCTCAACTTCCCGTATAATGGAAAGAGACCGGAAGTTAAAAATATTTTAGTTGAGAAGGCAATTTTGAAAAACTCACTACCATAAAATTTCAAGTTTTTATTTTGAATCGTTCTCTATATATTCCTAACGAACGCTTGTCGTGAAAGACCCTGTATACATATAGACACACCTGTGTCTATAAAAGCTTAAAACTGAAGTGAAAATCTCACAATGAAGTGTTTCTTGGATAGTAGTCGAAGAAAAACGGAAAACTACTGAGCTTTTCCTAAAACTTTAATGAAAACTAATATAAAAATTATAATTTAATATTCAAAAATCAACCTCAGTAATTAATGATCTATCACTATCTATAATGATCTATCTGAATTAAAAACACTGACTGAATAAAATATTGAGATAGGAAACTCCACCCTTGTTCTTTGATGTGAGGATCGCTATTACATCGACGAAATATATACATTCTGCTGATTCCGTAACATAAATTAGAAATCAAAATAAGTTTGATTACTGTATCGAGAAAAGATACATACATATGAAAAAATAATTATTTCAAAATAAAATCTTCAAACACGCAGGACATTGAATTATATCTGAGAGACATTTATGCAAGAAACCTCACGGAGGTTAGTCTTGCAGATGTTTCTTGTTGATAGTCTTGCAGATGTTTCTTGTTGATAGTCTTGCAGATGTTTTTTGTTGATAGTCTTGCAGATGTTTTTGTTGATAGTCGTGCAGATGTTTCTTGTTGATAGTCGTGCAGATGTCTCTTGTTGATAGTCTTGCAGACGTTTCTTGTTGATTGTCTGGCAGTTCTAATTCAATTTCTAGCGTCGTATTAGCCGGGGAAGTAGTTGTTTTCCGCCATGTATTTACGAGAATCTACGTTGTAGGTATTTTGGGAGAGATGAATGTTTCGAAATTCCATTTTGAAATATTCAATTTCTCATATGTTTCCTCGATACAGTAATATAACTAAATTTGATTTCTGTCAAGAGGATTGATACATGAGAATTTTCATCCTTGCTTGGTGCTTTGTTCGTGAGATGGAGATGTTGAGCTTTAGGCACAATAGTGGAGGGAGAACGTTTCCGCTATGTTTGTGGTTGGGTAGGTTTGTCAGGAGTAGGGTAAGCACGTGGGCTTGCCTCCTCGACCCTCTCAGTGTCCACCGTGACGATGTCGGAACAAGAGGTACATCCGTCAATTGCGCAACGTGTTGTAATCAAGTTTCTCGCCGCAGAAGGTGTGAAACCGGCCGAAATCTTGAAGAGATTGACTGCCCAGTTCGGGGAAGAGATACTGTCGCGAGCCAGAGTGTTTGCATGGCATAAACAGTTCGTGGAGGGTCGTGATCGTGTTGAAAATGAAAGCCATGACCGCAGACCTCGCACCAGCACTACAGCGAAAAACATCAGAAGTGTTGCACGGCTTATTGAAAATGACAGACGTTGTACCACTTCTGAAATTGCAAGTGAGGTCGGGATAAGTTATGGGAGCACTTACTCCATACCCACAGAGAAGCTAGGGTACCCTAAGGTGTGCCCCAGGTGAGTTCCTCGCCTTCTCACAGCTGACCAGAAATTGCATCGTCTTCAGGTGTGTGGGCGTCTTGCACGATTTCAATTTCTCACTCTCATTATCACCTGTGATGAAACATGGGTGCACCACTACACCCCAGAATCTAAACAAGCGAGTATGGAGTGAAGAAAACAAGGAGAACCTGTACCAGTGAAAGCCAACTCACGTTTGTCGGCTGGCAAGGTTTTGGCTACCGTTTCTTTTTTTTACCAGCGTGGATTGCTGTATCTCGATTTTCTGTACGAGCACAGGAAAATTAATGCGTCCTACTAGTGCGACGTTTTGAGTGAGGTCCGACTTGAATATCGCCGCAAAAGATGAGACCTATCGATCAGGGAAGTGGTTCTTCTCCATGACAATGCTCGCCCCCATACAGCAGCCTTGACTAGGGAAAAATTGGAACAATTGGGGTGGGAAATATTGAAACGCCCTCCTTACAGTCCAGACCTGTCACCCTGTGACTTTCATATATTTGGAAGCTTTGGGAGGCCAAAGATTCGATAGTGTGTTTCCAAATCAGATTATGTAGAAAAATAAACTATATTCTTTTTTGTGTTTGAAATAAAAATAAATTACCAAAAGAAAAGTCCCGTTTATATTTGATTCACATAGTAGTTAACAATCTTTCTCATAGACGAATGTTTCATACATGTAGATGAGCCGCGTTAAAATTAATCGGGTCCCAAGCACACCGCTCTTTGAGTCGGATGAGGTGAGGAAACAGCAAAAGCTAAGAGTAGTGTCAAGGATGAGAAAAGGAAAGTAGTAAATAAATTTGCAACAAATGAAGAAAATGAATTAGCGGTGATGCTTTCAACATGTAAGTACGTGTGAAATTGCAAGAAATTTGGATATAAGTCATACTTTCGTGAAGAGAATGTTGATCAAAAATAAAGTTCATCCATATCAAATTGAATTACATAAATAACTCTATGAAACGAATTATGATAACAGAGTTTAGTATTGCGAAAATTTATTGAATTCAATTAGCAAAGAACCGAATATTTGGAAATAGGTTGTCTTTTCTGACGGGTACATATTCAGAAGTAATGTCATGGTAAATAGACATATTATGCAGTATTACTCAACAGAGAACACCCCATTGGATGAGAGAAGTCGATAAGCAAAACAGATGGTCCATAAGTATTTGGAGGTCATAATTGGGGATCAGGTCATTGGACTATATTTCTCTTGATGGGCCTCTGAATAGAGAAATTTATTGAGTTCCTCCAAAATGATTCATCAAATTTGTTGGAGGATGTACCGATTGACAAAAGGCATAGGTTATATTACCAACAAGATGGTTCGCCCTCCGATGACTAAAATCGGGTAAGGAGATTTTTGAACAGATGGGGTAGGAATGAAT